CTAGGTAAATTTTCGATCTTCTTACTTTTATATTTTTTATCTATGTGTATAGAACATATGCATAGATATGTATATAGCGTATATGTACCAAAGATATGATATATAGCGTATACCATAGAAAAGAGTTTGATATTTTTTTCCTAGAATTCTATTTTTTATCTAGACAACTTAGACGAAAATAGAACAAGTATAGAAGAACAAGTTAAAACAAAAATAAACCGTTTTCTCCTATAATATTATTCGTCCAAGTTAGCATATTTTTACTTGGATGATACCTGGATGATATTTTTTTCTTGGACGCGAGCAGATCCATTTTAACTACATTCTAGGATAGCATTTGCGTAATATATTTGATAGCATGACCAGATAGTATATACCTGATAGCATACCTGATAGCATTTGTGCGATATATTTTGTATACATATTTGATAACATATATCCAATAACATGTCTCGATAACATAACTCGATAACATAATTGATAGCACTCGATAACATTTGTGTGATATATTTACCTCCACAAACGATATACAAATTGCAATCAGGTTGTCAAACTCGTGATAAGCCAACCCGGTAGCATAACCTACCTTAGCTATTTTATTGCAACGGAAATCAGTCGTCATCTCATTTTATCTCCGCTAATCCACCCATCAAACTCGCGATGAGGCCAACCAGGTAGCATAACCTACCTCAGATATTTTATTGTAATGGAAATCAGTCAGAATTACCATCCCGATATACAATAGTTTATATGACGACGGTGTCATATTTTTGTCATCACGACACGTACCTAGCTCATCATAACTTAAATCAGGAGGTGTCCTATACTTGAAATAAGTCATAGATGTTAAACTGATATACTATGAAAATGTGTCATAAAATATAGATCACGACACTGACGACGGTGTCATATTTTTGTTGTCAAATTTTTTATAGATCGTGGAGGTATCCAAGTGTGATGACGTGAACACAAATTCGTCGTCATATTTTTTATAGATCATGAGTACCTAAATATTACGATGAACTCATGAACCAATCGTCACTCGAATGACGATGCAAGCGTGAATCATTCGTCACTCGAATGATAGAGCGAATACTAATATATCTCTGACGACGGTGACGCATTTCTGTCATCACAACACTGACGATGGTGATGCATTTCTGTCGTCATACCTGAGTGGGAATAACCTAGACTAAGTGGAAATAACATAATTATGTTATTTCCACTTACAAATTAATAATAAAGTAAGTAAGACATATGTGGTGCATATAGAAATGCCAAGTACTTGTATTTGTTTGCATCTACATCGTACTAGAACTCTATGCGAACATATAATTATAGTATATCTACTGTATCTACATATCTGTATTCTACCAAGTGAAATTCACCAACATTGGCGTATATAACATACTCCAGAAATTAGTCATATTCCCCAACTTGCTACACAAATCTTCAAAAATTTGCCAGAATGCCATCACACTACTTTACCAAATCTTATACAAAATGCTTTAGAACAAATTCTTAAGAATAGTAAAGTACCAAAGCTGCAGAAAGAATTGGATACTTTACAGCAGAGCATTTTTAAGACTACTAGTATTGATAGTGCTACAAAATATGAACAAATTAAGTTTTCTAAAGTCAAACGCAAACGAGATCATCCTCTTAATAATGGGCATATCTATGGAGCAAATGAAAGTATGACTAAAAAAGCTAAAAACTTAAACAACAATGATACTATAGTATCATATTTTAATAGTATAAAGCTTGATCTATATATTTCTCAAAATGTGGTATTACAGGTATATATACCAAGTTGTTTTCTTAATAAGTGGTATAGTAATTAGTTTGCTAAAATTAATTCTTCTTTGTTATCGAAATTATTATCAAAATTAGTATTTTTAAGTTATTGAACTTATACATACCATATATATTAAATTATATATATGTTGTACCCTAGATTAGAATCTGCCTAATCCAGAATTCAGCTATTCCAATTCAGAATCGGGGTAACCCAATTTAGAATTCTTATATAGGTTACTCAGATCGAAGAATGTTGGTTGAAACTCGATTAAAACCTGTGTATATACAATTGAAATGATCAATCGCAATTTAAATTAAGCATTTACAGTTACAAAAATGTGTATAAGCGAAACAAATAACAGTTTTTGTAATCTGATGCAATTAATTAAAAGTTTAATTTTATTATAAATAAAGAAAATAAAATGTGCTTAGTATTTTTTTTTTTTTTTAAACCAAAAAAAAGAAAAAGCGATAATCAAATAAACTTAATAGAACAAGTCTCCAAGATATACACAACTTACTATTTATTCTTTTACTAATTATTTAATATCAAATATCATAAATAGAAAAGCAGATTTTTCTTTTTTTTTTCATGCCACCTTTGATCAACTAGTATCAGAATTTTTATCAAACCATAATTCTAAGCAACGAAAAAAAGCTATTATTATACAAGAAGACTATTATTTGATTATTACGATTTTAAAAAATCCTACAAATACATCTAATGAGATGGCAAAAGACTGTTTCTGGGCAAAAAATAGTTTTTATCTACGTGACCTCAGAATATCTCAAAACCCTATTTTTCAACTTATAGAAATGAAAAATACCAATTCAAATGATAAACCAGACCGGGCTATATGTCTATTTCAAAACCTTTATACTGTTCTTGAAAACATGCATGGTAATACCTATCAGCATTCTGGTTCAAAGAAAACTTTTGATGTGGTAAATAAGGTTATTAAATTTATGTTAGTGCTTTATACTTTCTAGCTTTTAACTTTAGCTTATGTTTTAGATAAGCAAGCAATATGCTTATATTTCTTAGTCTTTTGTGGAGACATATATCACTCGATGTATACAATGTTATACAAGAAGAAATTTTCTTGCACCAATTATCAGGGAGACCATTATTTCAAAAAAATTCTTGCAATATATGCAAGTAGATCTTGTTTCATTTGAGAAGTATCTGGATAAGGAATACAAATATATTACGCACCTTTGTGATCATTTCACAAAGTTTTCATAGACATGTTTACTACGTACTAAAGAGGTGGCAGAAGTTGCTGCATTTTTATTTTTGGTTTTACTGTCTTTGGGTCTTCGTACATATTGCAAAGTGACAATAGGTGGGAATTCACTACACAAATTATTTATGAACTTCTCAGTCTATAGAAAGAAATCTATATAATTAATGGGCGTTCTCGTCACCCTCAATCGCAAGGTATGATTGAAAACTCTAACAAAACTCTGAAGAATGTTCTCTCTGCATGGATGGAAGACAATGATCGAAGAGATTGGAGTATTGGCCTTCTAATAGTAACATGTAAGTATATTAATTAATAATTTATGATTAGTTAGATATTTTATTAATTGTTTTTTTTTTTTTTTTTTTTTTAGATTCTATGAATATTTATCGCTTTAGATCTACCAAACACACACTATACGAATTAGTTTTTGGACAACATCCCTTATGCCACTTTAATATAATTAAAGAATAAAAGCAACATAACATTAATTTGGAGGAAGATTTACCTGAAAGTGTTATCGAAGATAAGGAAGTTTCTGAAAATGACAATAATAACTTATCTGATGATAATGGAGATTTTAATAAAATCGTTCAAATTAATAATACAGGAAGAAGTAGTGCTTCACAATCTTCAATAGTAGCTTTTCTATCAAGTTCTCGATTTCTAACACCATTTTTTGATATTATGCAAACAAACATTATTATAAAAAAAAATAGCATCTCACAAACAAATAAATCTTTGCTAACAACTTCTCTATTAAATTTCTGATTTTTAGTACTGTTTGTTAACACAGTACAAGAAAATAAATCACTTATGGAAGAACACGAATTGAGAAGTATTAAGTTAATATTCTACTTGATTTTTTTTTTTAACTAATTTTAATTATAATAAACAGGATTCCCAAATTGTCAACTCTCAAATATATATAGACTTAGAAGGTAATTATACAATGCAATCACAAACTACTTTCAATGATCAGCAAATGCAATCTACTGCCGATGATACTAGCAAGCAAATAATTTCTGTGCAAGATGATTTTACAAGTAATTAGAAAAGAATTACAAAAGACAAGGTTGCTATAAGATTTATTTTCTTTTAAGTTATTGTAAATTTTTATTAATAATTTAAATTTCTATTTATTTATAATAGGAAAATCAAAATTTTATTGATTCAAATGATTACGTTCCTTCCAAAAAACGTCATATCTGGACTATTTAAGAAGCTTTAAATAATCTGACTTCTCAGCATAACATTTATCGACAAGTTGCAAATAAAAATCTTGAAGACTATCATTCCAAAATGAAAAACCAGATGCTTACAAAATATAAAATTAATGAACGTGTTTATGAAGTTGGTAATCTAGTAAAGATCAGGTTGTCAAAATTGACCATAGGCCTAATAATCATTGCGTACTCTCTTGCAAAGTATTTGCAGTGCTTCTCAGAAATATATATCGCCTTGTATGTCATTTTGGTATTTTTGATCAAACATTTCTAGCTGGTGTAGTTTTACCACTTGGACCAAAAGAATTTCTGAAGCTAGATAATCCTCCAACCACTATGACTGTCAGTATGATTGAAGCTGCAAGATTGTAATCTAATGCTCTTGCTAATAACAAAGTATGCAATTGTAAAGGTGACTGTCTTACATCAAGATGTAGTTGCAAAAAAGCAAATATTATGTGTGGAAGTGAATGACATCCAAAGAATTTAAAGTGTAAGCACCAAGCTTAAAGTTGGTAATAGAGAAATAGGTTTTATTTTTTATTTTAAAATTATATATTTGCAGCATTGCATAATTTTATTATCAGGGCAGCTAATTTAAATTAACAATAGAAATCTGATTTTAAGCGTCAGTAGTTTAGTAAATAATATTTTTCTTATTTGCTTAAGACATGTTTTAATTAATAATATTCAAATATCATATAATGTATCTTTAATAAAGGTAGCTTTTACTGAAAAAAAATAGAACTAAACGTGTTTGGGTCAATGCAATATTTGTATATCGGTGTATAATTTGATACTACGTACATGAAAGTCATTTTCGATCCAGGTGATCCATATAAGAATTCTAAATTAGGTTATCCCAATTTTGAATTGGGATAGCCAAATTCTGGATTGAGCAGATTCCAATCCAGGGTACAACATATATATATATATATATTTATATTTATATTTATTTATTTATTATCTTGTGAATCTATCTACATAACATATTTATTATTTATTTTTATGGCTAAGTATTTATGTATTTATTATTCTGTTTATAAGTATTAATAACTTACTAACGTTAACTATATTCGATCTTTAAATAAGTGCATAAAAGTTTGTATTATGTGAATGGCATAAAAAAAATAAATTATGTTCTGGGTGATTGTGTATAAATAAATTTATCAATAAGATATAAATAGCTGATATACATTGACCTTTTTGGTAAATTTTTAGTTATACCAATTATCCAGAATATAATTATTACTAGCATAGTAATTTAGTAGATTCTATATAGCAATAATGAGGATTCCTTCCTCTTTTTTCTTTTAAAGTAATTAAAATAATAATTTGTGCATATATAATTTGATAGTAGCCTAGTTAATATTGATGATTTTACCTATTTGTCAATAGCAGAGGCCTCAACTCTAATATTTGA